ATGCTACCTTTCGCTATCCCTGGGCGCGAATCTCTCCCGTCGCTCTCTACAGTGACGTCTAGAAACCCATGGAGAGACTCGAGCTCGTCTTCGCACAGCCATCAAACTGCGCTGAGCCGTGACACAATTGAAAATAGTGGAGGAGCGCCGAGGTAAGCCATACGATCTTGGTGACGTCGATGGTGGTTGAACCTATTCATTTCGCGCACGCAGGGAAACGGGACACGAGTCGCAGGCGTCTCGCAAAGTGTACTATGAGAGCTCCGCCGCGTACCCCGAAGATCGCGGTAAACGAATTGATGCCGCGGTTGCAAATGGCGGAAACCTCGGAAACAAGCGGGCGAGATCGAGAAGCCCGCGAGCTGCCAGTGGCCACGGCGGAAGTGAGCATAAACGGCAAAAGAAGGCCAAGCACAAGTCGACGCCTTCGGTTATGACCTCACCTTCGGCGGGTACGGCGCAACGGGAACGGCGGCTAGATAGCGCAGGTCGGACTATCACAAGTCGGTACGTTACGCCACCTATCTGCACGGTGCATAGCGTTCATCACCGCTCAGATCCGACGCGAGCCCCACCCATGTCGCAATGCACCAGCCGGGTACCGACGGCGGCGGGTGGCTGCACGATACTACCCACCAATCCCACAACATCGGCACCCCTGGTACATCCACGAGCGCGCCGGAGATGCGCCAGGAGTCCGCGGCGTCAACATCGTCCTCAGCCGCGAACTTTCCGCAGCGAGCCGGAGTAGCCGACGCCGGTAGACTCACAAGGCCGGTGAGTCTACTCCTGACCAATGCCGAGTAGAGGCTGATGTCCGAGACTCATCCACGGCGGTCGGTTCAGAGCACCGGGCAAATTCCGAGGATGATACCGCCACCGCTGTCGCTCGAGAGGGGCGGCATGTCCACCCAAACCGTACAAGGTCCAAGGTCAATGCACGAGGTTCCCGCGCCGCATTATACTGCCGAAGCAAGCACGCGTAGAGAGTCTGGTAACGGAAGCTACAGCCCAGCGAGTGGCAGAGAGGATGACAAGGGCGCGGTGAGTACCCACATATACGGCTCAACGATCCACGCATATCTCACCGCCGCTCACAGAATATGAGCGCCGTGTATTCGGCGTTGACCGACCTTCAGAATGAAGTCGCCAGTATGCGGCATCGACTATGCGTACTCGAAGAGAGGTCAGAGCTGGGTTATTGATCAGCTCGATGCATCAGCTGACTGTTGCGGGTCGGATCTCTCACTAGACTAGCGAAGACGATTCCGAACAGTGCCATCTCAGAGGATACGACTTCGCGATCTCAGGCTGCGCCGATGACGGCACCTGATCACCACGCCAGGATTCAGGTTCATCGACAAGGTAGCACCGTCAATCTCACCTTTCTGTAGAGAGGGACGTAGATGTACTACCACAAACAGCGACGATCTGCGTGGGTACGTGCGGGCAACATGTGGGGCTGGGAGAACAGCGCTGTGAAGGGGTCCACGGAGGAGAGCAGTTAGCCGGTGATGTCCTGCAGGCGGGTGCACGGTGACTTCATCGTGTCTGATTCGGAATGCCTCGACCTCTCCGACGGCGTACGTTTACCGCACAGCACGACTGACTCGAGATGCACTTCCTATCTTCGAACAGTCTACATTCTCGTGAACGCGCAGCTGGAGGGCATTACGGTACTCCCGCAGTGGCCTAAGAGCATAGCGATCGTACGAATATACTCTCGACGTTGGACTGCCGCTTATCAGGATCCGCAATCCACGCGCGTCCGGCCTCAGCAGTGCGCTACATGTACCTTATGATTGTAGTATCGCATCCTCCCGGGACCGATGCGTCGGACCTAGAAAGCGAGGAAGGACTTGGTGAGGCCCGAGTATCGAAATGACCCTCGAAATTCCAATTGGTACGCAATATGACGGGCCGCAGACATCTTATCACGAAGCTTGTATGGGACCACACTTGTGGGATGATGCTGGTGTGATTGAGTGAGGGGTGTGGGGGGCCTTGTCGATTGGGCATACATAGATATCCGTGTTCTCAGTATGCGGGAGCCGAACTTGAAAGGTACTCATCCCTCGAAACCGCCATTGGGGGTAAGGGGGAAGATAGATTATGGGAGCGATTGATAGTAGTATATAAGTGTATCTCAGCTTTGCTCGTCAGGAAGATCGCCGTCCTTGCCCGGAGAGAGCAGCGCGCGTTGGGCGTCCGGCATGGAGCTGCTCCCTCGAAGCGAAGACTCCAGAAATGCTCGAGATCCTCGTCTAGCCATGCGACTGACGATGGAAGTCCTGGTATCAACGCCCTGTGCAAAATCGTATGAGCTAAGCTGACGGCGAGCGAGGTGCGGCTAGAAGTCTGAGAACGTACCGACATAGTTCCAGTGTGGCTGCGCTCCTCCAATGTAGCCAATCGGTTCTGCGCTTGGTATAGCTGCTTCTGTTTCTTCAAGACTTCGTCGCGCGACCTGTCCGCGTTTGAAGATAGGCTCGCGAAGTGCGCGCTCCTGCTGGCGATGACTACCTCTTGGTTTTTGATCAAACGACTCAAAGCGGATATCTCTCCCCTCATCCGCTTCAGCTTTTTACGTGAGCCCTCCTGGGCGTTGACGAGCTCCGCTTTTCTCCTGTATACGTGACAACCAGTCATGAACTCGATTCCGCGGTACACAGAGAAAGAGAGGGACTGGTGTACTTACTTCTTGACGGCAGCAGGCTTATCGTGAGCCTCGTTGGCTGGCTGCAGAGAAAAGTCTAGGATGCGTCCATCGTGGGTCGTGAGGTCCGGTTGGTCCTCGCCGCAGCGGAAGGGGCATCGTGGCTGGGCGCTCCGAAGTATAGATCGAAAGCATTTGCGGCATACGACATGACCTATTCAAAGCAGCGGGTTGAGACATCGTCAGAGGGGCGGGGAATATCTTACTTACAGCAGTCTTCGAGGATAATTGCGCGCTCCCCAGTGCGCTGGTTGGATAATTGTACATCGCATATGGGGCACTTCGGAAGCATCGCAGAGGGAGTTAGCTCTAGTCGGTAACGAAGCTTCCTCGTATGGACAACGACGGTGGCGACTCTGAGAGATGCCTTCGACTGTTCGATTTTATTCTGGGGAGAGTCGTGACTGGATAAAGGATAAACAGCGCTGCGAACGTCTTTGGGTGGAACCTGCTTAAGCCTCTTTGGCTGTCGTATGACAAAGCGTCCGAAAACTCCCCCGCGGCGCTGCTCTGAACGCGCCCAGGAAACAATGGCGCGTTGACCATGACGAGTGCGGAGGCACAGCGCTAAGCCTTGAGACGGGAAGGAAGAAAGGAATCAGTACGCCTTACATTGATGTGAGAAAGGAAGAGTTGCACGCATCGAACCACCGAAGCGTCGACTTAGTTCCGAAAGTCAGAAGTGCCATCGGACACGTGCATCAGACCCGAATGTCAAACCATTGAAAGTTGAAATTCGAAAGAAAGCAGACACGGTGCCCTGCATACGCACGGCTATGGGTAGCGGCGTCTCGGAGCACGACTACTCAGTCACAGACGCAAACACCTCCAAGTTCCAACGGGCCCTATCCAGACCCGCCGGATGGAGTGATTCCTGCAATCGAGCGTCGTCAACATTTGCATCCCCAGGATCCACGAATTAAAACGCATTCTGCTACTCACCACGATGGCGGCGACTCCGGAGGGCGCAGCGAACGTCGAACGTGCGTCCGCACCCGTCCTCTCAACGTCGTACAACCACAGACTGCGCTGCGCGTTCTGCCATGTCGCAATATATGTTTTGTCGCGAGCCGGATGAGTGGGTCGGAAAATCTAGATTGTGTATGCCGCGTGCAGCGCTAGCCGAGGATGGATTGTGGAAAGCCGAGAGAGTGTGCCACTGCACGCGGCGCAGAAGGAGGTAGAGGAAGCGCCCGTTCGGAACTCGGGAGTCGAAAGTCGAAAGTCCAAATTGGGAAGACACGCACGTGTGCTCGTGGGAGCTCCCGGCGCGTCTCCGAGTCCCCCGAGGGCGCTGGCCTTTGCGCTCTCGCTCTCGCCCCCACGCGTACGACCACGACGACGATCGTCAAACGGTATGCAGTCGTCTCCGGCGCCCCTCGTAGCATTTGCTAACACAATTCGGACTTTCTACAGGCTCTCGACTATATACTCCTCACGACGTCCTGACGGCGCTCGACCCGCGGAGGCCCGTGCGCGCTGCGGGCAACCACGTCTCGACCTCGGCGGGAACGGTTCGACTGCGAGCGTGGTCGCAGAAACGACGCTCGCGCCGCGTCCAGCAACCCAAGCCGCCTGCCCAGCACTGTGCGGGCCTGCACTTTTGATCCCCGGGGACACCCTCGTAAGTCGCCCGTTTCGCCTGTCGACTATCGCGCGTGTCCGTTGCGCAGCGCTAATCCCTTCTGGATCGCGCAGAAGGCGCAGAAGGCGTCCACGAAGGAGACCACATCGCGGGGCGACGCGTCCCGTCCTGTGGACCCCGGGCATGTT